AGTTTAATGTAGACTGATCTTTTCCAATCCTCTGACCGCTGCTGGGTTTTCCAAAATTGCTGGTATATTGAGTGTAGCACCTTAACAGCATCATCATTTGAGATTTTAAATAGTTCCACTCACCTCCACTGGCCTTGTTGTTAGCCATGCTTTCTAAGGCTCACTTGACTTCACTCTCCAGGATATCTGGCTCAAGGTGAGCAACCACACTATCTGGGTTGTCCAGAACATCCAAATCTTTCTGGTATAATTCCTTTGTGTATTCTTGCCACCCCTTCTTGATGTCTTCTGCTTCTGTTAGGTCCCTACCATTTTTGTCCTTTATCATGCTCATCTTTGCACAAAAGGTTCCTTTAATATCTCCAATTTTCTTGAACAGATCTCTGGTTTTTGCCTTTTTATTCCTTTCCTCTTTTTCTTAGCACTGTTCATTTAAGAAGGCCCTCTTGTCTCTCATTGCTATTCTTTGGAAGTCTGCATTCCATTTTCTGTAACTTTCCCTATCTCCCTTGCATTTTGTTTCCCTTCTGTCCTCTGCTATTTGTAAGGCCTCGTTGGACAGCCACTTTGCTTTCTTGCATTTCCTTTTCTTTGGGGTGTTTTTTATTGCTGCCTCCTGTACAATGTTGCGAGCCTAGTTCTTCAGACACTCTGTCCACCAAATCGAGTTCCTTAAATTTGTTCTTCACTTCCACTGTGTATTCATAAGGGATTTGGTTTAGATTATACCTGACTAGCCCAGTGGTTTTGTAATGGAGAATTTTAGGGGATTTTTGTATGGGCAAATTCACTCAAAAAGGGGAAAGGGCTTGAGATGGCTTTGTCTGGTTACTAAAGATATTTCTGTAATTCAATATGCTGATCTTAGGAAATTTTGAGAACAATGACCATGACCGCAAGAAACGAGGAAATGAAAATGCTGCATTAGGAAAAAGACATGTCATGCAAGGAGGAGGTCTGGTGCTCTGGTGGTCTAAATAAATCCTGTTTGAGAAATGTCTTTTAATCTAGTACAAGAAATTGCTAAACATGCAAAAACGTGTTGCTGTCTGGAAGAAAGGGCGAGATGCCTAAAGTAGAATTTGTCAACGGTAAGGAAAACAACAGGAAAAGAGGGTGGGCAATGTTGTAGTCAGAGTGTGAGCTCATTGGTTAATTGACTGGTGAGACAGTGAGGGTCCCAAATTATATAGCCTTATGCTGCTAATAAATTCCTTGGAGTCTTCAGGGCAGTGACACGTTGCCTACCTGGAGGTCTCCCCGCTACTGCAGTTGCGTAATAAAAACTTCTTGCATTTTACCTCAGAATTTGTGAGAGTTATTTTACTCTATGTGGATATTTCCATAATGCTTTTTTATTCTTTCTTCAGTTTAAGCTTGAATTTTGTAATAAGAAGCTGATGATCAGAGCCACAGTCAGCTCCAGGTCTTGTTTTTGTGACTGTATAGAGCTTCTCCATCTTTGGCTACAGAGAATATAATCAATCTGATTTCGGTATTGCCCATCTGGTGATGTCCATGTGTAGAGTTGCCTCTTGTAATGACCAGCTTGTTCTCTTCACAAAACTCTATTAGCCTTTGCCCTGCTTCGTTCTGAACTCCAAGGCCAAATTTACCTGTTGTTCCTTTTATCTCTTGACTCCCTACTTTAGCATTCCAGTCCCCTATAATGACAACATCTTTCTTTGGTGTCAGTTCTAGAAGGTGTTGTAGATCTTCATAGAACTGGTCAATTTCAGCCTCTTCAGGAGTTGGTGCATAAACCTGGATTACTGTGATGTTGAAAGGTCTGCCTTGGATTCGTATTGAAATCATTCTATCATTTTTGAGATTGTACTGCAGTACAGCTTTTCCCCCTCTTTTGTTGACTATAAGGGCTACTCCATTTGTTCTATGGGATTCTTGCCCACAATAGTAGATATGATAATCGCCTAAATTGAATTTGCCCATTCCTGTCCATTTTAGTTCACTGACATCCAGGATGTCAATGTTTATTCTTGCCATCCTCTCTTTGACCACGTCCAGCTTACCAAGGTTCATAGTTCTTACATTCCAGGTTCCTATGCAGTATTTTTCTTTGCAGCATCTGACTTTCCTTTCACTTCCAGGCATGTCCGCAGCTGAGCGTCCTTTCGGCTTTGGCCCCACCATTTCATTAGCTCTGGAGCTACTTGTACTTGTCCTCTGCTCTTCCTCAATAGCATGTTGGACACCTTCTGACCTGAGGGGCCCATCTTCCAGTGTCATATCTTTTAGCCTTTTGTTTCTGTTCATGGGATTTTCTTGGCAAAAATACTGGAGAGGCTTACAAATTCCTGCTCCAGATGGATTGCATTTAGTCAGAACTCTCCACTATGACCTGTCTATGTTAGGTGTCCCTGCACAGCATAGCCCATAGCTTCTCTGAATTACTCAAGTCCCTTCACCATGGCAAGGCAGCAATCCATGAAGGGGCAGCAATCCTTGAAGGGTTTGAAATATGTGAATGATGGAATGATGTTTGGTGAATCACACATCTATTGGCTTCCCTGTCACCTCATAGAGCAAAGGATGTTGTACATGTGATTATGCAGAGGAAAGAAATTTGCCAGGTAAAGTTTGTCAGAATATAAAGCAGCAGGGGTGGAAAATGCTCTCCCAGCCAAAAACTGTTGTGTAGTCCATGACATCTACCCGATATATATTGCTACCTAAAGTGTAGTAATATTTTATTATTGCTTCTATAGTTATTATTTTATGTTATTTTGACCTTATTTTTTTTAGCCACCAGGAATAGTGACTATGCCACTAGTTGGGTGGGATAAAAATGGAAAGGGAGGGAGGGAGGAAGGAAGGAATGGGAACCCACATTCACTCTCCTACCCAGTTTTAGGAGCAACACTTTAAAATTAATCCTGTTGTACCATACAGATGTGCAATTCTTGTATCCATCTAGTCACCCCTCATGGCATTGTTTGAAACATGTCACTGCACTCTGCTCAGCTCAGGGTTTGCCCAAGACTTTCTGCTGCTTGTGGCAGAACAGCAATTGGTGCACACACACCCATACACATAATCCAGTTAAGGTGCACAGCACCCAAAGCTGGACACATTATTTTGGAACAAGGCCCAGAAAAACCCTTAAGGAATGCTGTACATCCCTGCTAGTAAAAACAGAACAATAACTATCATTCATTACACCCCAGATTTGCAGTTTGTTGTGGCTGCTTCATTCTGTCTAATGGTTGGGCTGCCTGCGTCATGACACCACTAGTCTTCCAACTCTCAAAAGCTGCAAAAGTCCAGTATGTTATCTTATTGGTTGTCTCACTGGCTCCAAGCAGTGATGTGTCAGAAGGATAATTTCCCTTCAAATGCCATTTTTAAAAGAAATTAGGCACAGGAAGATTGTTGAAACAAAACATATTTCCTCCTAGCACATTCCAAAGTTTTCCCATGTCCATAATAGCATTCTTTCTTCTCCTAAATCTCTAGTAATTTTATTACTGTCTTTCCATTATCTCTTGAGCTATCTGTTCAGGATCTCCCCACAACCCTTACTCTTAGTGAAAGAGTGATTCATCTGCTCAAAGAGATTTATAGCTTGTTTTTCCCCCTGTATTGTTGTGCATTTTGCAGTAGGTCTTTATTACCTAATAATGATAGCTTGCGAATTAAATTAGTTTTTAATGGCATAATTAAATTCTAATTTATGTTTTGGAGCTTTGTTTAATTCATTTAGTTGTAATGCAATTGTTTTCTTGCTATTACCTTACATTACACAGAATTTGGTGCCTCAAAGAAGCAAATCAAAAGACTAACTCTTTGGGATGTGGTAGACATCCAGACTCTTGCCTGCCTGATTCAAATGCTCTCTTTTTAAATAAGCATGCAAGGAGGGGCATGCATTAGCCCTGCCATTACATTGCTGCTATCCCTTTATGAAGAAGGGAGCATCCTACATTCATGAAAGCTCTTTGTGGAAATTTGGAGCCCTACTTTTCCAGAGTTCTGAGCTGTGTCGCTGGCCTCTATGCCCCTCACGTGAGGAGAACAGAGGGGAGCCAGCTAATGTAGCTCCTTCCTTGAGTGATTACCAAGCTGAATAACTTCTGTAGGATCCTATTTCAGCTTTTCTTAGGCTGCCTTCTCATATATCAGCCTCATTGGTTTCCGAATCAGAAATATACACTATAAAATTATAGTATTTAAAGCTAGTGGACCGTTTCACCCTCTGAGAGATACAGTGGCTGAAATCTTGTTGTGCTGTTACACAAACAGCATAATAGTTGGAAGGAAATTGCCATAAGTTAAGGAATGTCTGTATTTGTTGCATACTGACTCACTCAATTCGGCATGTTACAGATAAGATCTATAGATATTTCTTAACTTTCTGCAATTTGCCTATAAAAGTTTTATTGTTTCCATTCCACTGCATGACAGGATTTCAGCCAATGATATGTTACAATAAAATAAGCCACACACAGACACAGGCACAGGCACAGACACGTACATGCGCACACGCGCGCGCACACACACAAGTTCTTAGGGTTTTTACTGCTTAATTTTGGACAATTTTTCCTGGATTCAGTGGGTCAGTTCTCTGAAAGATGTCAAGGAAATACAACAAAAAGCCACACATCCTTCAGTTAGAAGCCAATGTGGTTGGTGGGCAAGAACAAGGGGAGTTGTTGTCTGCAACATGGGTGTGACGGTCAGGGAAACCTCTTGGGAAATTGTTGAGAGGTGCAAATGCTGCCCGATTGTTTTATCAAACTCCCTTCTAAAAGGCAGGAAGGGACAACCAGTCCAACAGCATTATGCCGACAATACTTAACAGCTCTTTCTTGATTCAGAGATAGAGGGAGGCGTCGTTAAAAATGCACATTTATTTCTGACAACATTTTTGACTCTGTAAGCTTTATTTTTTTTTGAAGCTACTTGAGAATCTTCAGACTAAAAACTATACTGCAGTCAATCATGTTGTATCATAAAAGTTTTTTATTTATCTAAAAGTTCTGTCTTTTCATTCCTAGAGTGCATGTGTTCCACATACCAGCACTATCACATATTGTACTCCAAAGACTGTTAACAGCTTGAGTGGGAGATTGCTATCTATCATAGCAATAGACAGCCACCTTTCAAAGAAAATGTATAACATTTGAAGAAGTAGGGTACAAAAAGGAATGAATATAGAATTGCAGTGAAGTACTGAGCTAAAATAAAAAATGAAGATAAGTCAAAGATCGAAGAAATATTCTGCCTATCATATCCATCTTTGAATGGTTTGGCGCACATGTTTTTCCTTTGAAGTGTCATCGAAATCAGCAGTGCTTACTTCTAAGTAAACGTGTCTAGGACAAAGGCAGCAGGTCATGACTTCCTTCTGAAATATAACTCTGGAACAGATGCAAAATAAATATGAATAGTTATTTCAGTGGAACTTTTCTGTAGAGAGAACAGCTTGAATTATTAGTTTGTTTTCCACTCTCACCTTCTTTAGCCACATTTCCTGTGTCCATGTTGCTGTATGCTGTCAAGTCAGTTTTGTCTTATGGCAACCCCTTGAAGGATTTTCAGAAGTGGTTTGCCATTCCTTCTTTTGGGATTATCCTGAGACTGTGCAGCTTGTCAAAGGCTGCACAGGCTAAATCTTCAGGGATATACAGTGGGGAGTTGAACGCCTAACCTTAGGCTCTGCAGCCAGAAACCTAAAGCAGTGAGCTATTCGGCAAACCTCCCTATGTGCACAACAATGTGATTGTTTTTAAGGCATTTCAAACAGCTAATTAACAGTATGAAGATGGAAATAGGTCAAACGCCAACCAGCCAAAAGCCAGCCAGTAACATGGCCACCTCCTTCTTTCCTCATTCAACCTGGGACACACCAGATGTTTTGGACTACAGTTCCCATCATCTCTCACAAATGGTCCTGCTGACTGGAGCTGATGACGATTGTAATTCAAAATATCTGAATCACAGGACTTGCTGTCAAACGAGACTTAAGTCGCACTGGCAGCCAAACTCAGACTCAACTCAGGATGTATTTTCAATGATTTGATGTATTTTCAATGACTTGAGTCATGACTTGGAACCCACCCATCCCCTCCCTTTTTGGGGGGGGGAGGTGAAGCTTGTTCTTAAAAGGGACTCAAACTTAGGGCTTGGAACTCAAGACTTGGTACCAAAAACTCAGACTTGGACTAGGGACTCAGACCCAACATTCCTCCTTTAGACATCCCAAAAGTACATGTGTATGTTGTAATCAGAAAATAGATGCACTGGGAAAAAAGAATGCATGTTTGTGGTCTATTTTCCATCATATACAGGCATCCAATTTGCAGGTGGTTAATTCCAGACATACTCTACTGTAAGAGAGAGTCAATTGTCATCCTTTTGTGAAACTCTGCAATTGCCAAGGGCTTTACAATTTATGTATTTAATTTCCTTTCCCCCACATACACACACTTGAAATGTTTTCTATTTATAAACAGTGCTATATAGATAACTGTGGAATCCATAATGAGATTTGATACACCCTCGCCATTGTGCTTCTTAAAACAGCAACAAAAGACACTACTATACAAACTTCTTCTGACATTGACCTGATTATAATGTAATAATGCCACATCCTCTCTGCGGGCAGCTGTACACCTTCTAGACCAAAGAAATATGTTAGCCTAGAAGACATGTAGACAATACAGCACTGTTTTTTTTTAAAAAAACCTCAAATTTTATTAGAGAAGATGTTCCTTTATTAGACTTCCTTCTTTTTGGAACTTGGGCTGCACCTGAGGATGCTGGAAACTCTCTGAAACTTTCCCTGGAGAATAAACAGTTTTTCCTTAAGATCTAATGCCACAAATAATGCTTGTCAGTGAAGGCGAAACGACACTTTAAGTGTCTGTGATTTTTCCTTTCCCCAACCTCTCCAAGGGCTTCCTGCTATTAGGTAAAACTGCTAGAGGTTTTTTGTTTTTAAAGCAACTACAAAGTCTGGGATAATTTCATGATCACAGACATCTAGAAAGGAAAGTGTTAAACAGCACCAGGTCCTTAACTCAATCTGAAACCATCTGCAGCTGTTTTTCCTGATGAAAGAGAACTCTCCAAAGAAATCAGGGAGGAACAAATAGTGTATGGGGAAAGACCTCTTTCTTGACTCATCACCCATCCATTCAGAACAGTTTCAGGGTTAGGTATTTGCTTATCCTGTACTTTTTAGCTATGCCAGAGTGTTGATCACAATTTACTCTGGCAGACACAACTGGATTCTTACCTGGATACTCTTCTTTAATGACATTTGAAGCTTCCTCAAGGATAGGATGACACCAATCAGCATAAAAATTCACTAAATCAACATCTGCATTGTTTAAAATATCATCTATGTTTCTACTGTCAAGACTTCTTATTTCACTTCTTGTTGGATTAAAGAGCAAAGACACCAGAAAGAGGAGGACAAGAAGGCAGAAGCAGGACTCAAAGAAGATGGCGGCAGCTGTCAAGGTCACTGCAATGAGAGGGGATGAGCAGTCAATTGCCATTCTCCTTTCTGCTCTGGTTTCCCGAAGAAATGGCATGATGGTGGCCAAGTTCCACCTAGAGGAGGAGGAGACTGACCTCACTTGCACCAGCACCACCCGTCCCCTTCCCTCTGGAGGCATTCCTGGAACCTCCAGTCTTTTAATATAACTTGAGAAATCTGTAGATCCAAGCCCTCCTATTAAGATTGGGACTCTTGGTGCTCACCTCCAGGAGGAATAACATCAAATCACAGTTATTACTGAACATCTGTTAGGGAGCATATCTTTATAGGGGCTTGTTCTCCCATATGTCCTGCTAAAAGAAAGCAACATTTGAGCATTTTTCATCTAGGAAATCTGTTTTACATCAGCTCTCTTTTTCTCTCCACAATATCAAAGCAGCTGGTGGAAATGATTTATATGGCTATTGTGAAGAATTTTCACAGGGAGTAACTGTATCCTTGCCTTTCTAGATACATAAAATGAGAAACACAAAAGCACATGAAAACTGTGGAACAGTTACTCTATCACTGAATACTATAAGCAGTGAAGGCGGAAAAAGCAATTAACAGCCTAGTCCTAAATGACAAACCACATGCATTGCAATTGAATGTAATCCATCCTAAACATACTTAGCACTGCAGTGTTAGAATTTCTACTTGCATGTAGCTGGCACTAGCCAAAATGCATGTGAGTTATAAAACAACACTTTAAAAAGGTGGCAGTGATGTTGTGGCTTAGCCTCCATTTATCATATAATAATAACATGTGGCAGTATTAATCCACTCTGAGGGTGTTGAAGAAATCCTGGCCATCAGTCTATCGACTGAGATCTCCAACAAGCCCTATTGAACATTTTTTTCCCCTGATGTATTACACATCTCTGCTGGTGGCCGCTTGGTTCACAATTACCAAGCACTGGACAAGTTCAAATCTCCCAGGAATTGGCAAATAAGAAGTTTGGAAAAGACAACTTTTGGAGGGTTGGGGCTTGGTGAAATGGTTGATAATGGAGAAATTGGTAATAGAAAAACTGAGCAATCAAGTTCTTGGACTTGGTGGTTCTAATTCATCAACCACGTGGATGCAGAGCTTCTTGGCAGGCAGGTCTAATTCTAGTACAATCACAGAAGCACAATTTCCACCTCCCAGATATTCACAAGCTGAGACATCAACCTTTCATGGCGCCATGGCCAGCTCCCCTAACTTGCCCTATGAATCACCATCTGCCTCTCTATTGTAAAGTCAAAAGAGAAGCCAGTCAGCACAGAAGCAAATCCTGAAGTGCCCCTACTGAAGGTAAATGTATCTAGGATAGTTTTTACATGCACCTGGGTACACTTCATGCTGATCATCTTGATCACTTCTCTCTAGTGATTGCTATGGACAATCACCTCCTCAAAGGAAATAACTCTGTTAACAAAATATCCCTTGACTTGTCAAAACACAGACTTTGAGCCCAGGTTGTGTCCCTCTATTACTTTTGGCAGGGCATGCCATTCCCCACAGAAACCTCTGCAAAGTTCATACCATAGGGCTACATGATTCATTCACACTAATAAAGAATGTATTAGGCTAAACAAACAACTAGAAGTAGTAAGAAACAATCCTATAATTTCCCTCAGAGGTCTTACCAACTAAATCTATTCGGCCAACAAAAATGCCCATGATATTCAATGGGGTTGAAACTGGGAAGAGACATTTTGCCAGATATCCTCCTCATAGGTCCTGACTAGAGATGGACATGAATTTAAAAATGAATTGCAAAATTAATAGAAAATTGCTAATTCATTTATTCATATTTGTCCAAGTCGATGCCCCTGACAAGTATGAATCAATGAATGTTAGGGATTTTAATTCATTGATTTGTTGGGCTATACAGTAAAATGGCCCCCTGGCACCTAGAGACATCAAAATTGCAGATAAGCCTTGCCTTACTCTCCTCTATAATTCCTCCAAGTTTGGTGAAGACTGAGTTTCCCAAACCATCTGCTAAAAGGCATTTTCCTGTGAGGACCCACTTTGTAGTGTATAACTTGGATGTCTGAAACTCAGTCTTCACCAAACTTGGAAGGATTGTAGAGGAGAGTCATGGGAAGTTTTTCTGCTTATTTTGGTATCTCTAGGCGCCTGGAGGGAACTTTCCTGTGTTGGAGCACCTTTGTGAGTGTATAATTCAGATGTCCCAAATTTCACCAAACTTGCATGGCTTGTAAAGGAGAGTCAGGGGAAGCTTCTCTGCAATTTTGGGGTTTTGAAAGAAAAAAAATGAATAGATGGATTGATTCATCGATTCATCAGCCAATAAGAATAAAGATTTTCTATTCAAAACCCACAATTATTTCAACAATCTTTTGTTGTTGTTATTTTGACATAGTTTGGGGGGAAAATCATGAAAGTCAAAATCTTACCTGTTATTCATTTCTGCCAGGATCTTGTTCAATCTGAATTATAATGTCACCCCTGTAGTAAATTCCATGAAAGTCAGTGACTAAAGGATTACTATCTTCTTAAAAATTAAAATAAATAATTTTTAACTGCCTAATGTTGCCTATATTGGGGGCAGTGGTTGCTTTTTGAAAAGTATAATTCTATATATCCTCTTTCCATTAGAAAAAGCCACAGGGCTGAAATATTCACTCCAAAATATTTTTAGGCCAAATTGTTACCTGTACAGCATCACATTCAAAGATTGCTTATTACAAGATACAGCTGTATAATTAACAGGGTAACCATCTACATGCTCAAGTACTGTGCAATCATCAGTGCATAGAACAAAGAGGCAATTTTTTCCCAAGAAAATCCTCAGGGGATATGCTGGACTGACAACGGACTGGAATTCAATTTACTGAAGTGATATTGAAATATCGGAGAGAGGTGGCAGCAGACTGATTATGGTTCAAAAATGGTATTGCTAATACTGTCTCATGAACCTGTATGTTCTGTTGTCACCATAGCAACATGGTCATCAGAGCCATCCAGGAAACTGGCAACGCTCCCCGACTGTTCATTTACATTTTCCTGCTAGATGCTGAAAAGACTTATGATATAATAAGAGAGAAAAACAGAAAATGAAGGCTGGTGTAAAATAACTATTCTTCATCATCACCAACTTAGGGTGTAGGAAACAAAGGAAGACAGATAGACATTTTCCCAACTGTATTGTTAAAGAGCATGTCTATTTTAATGTATTTGGAGAAGTAACTAGTATTTTCTGTGCCTTGATGACAGCATTTGATGCCTTTTTATTTTAGAGCAGTGGTCCCCAATCTTGGGCCTCGAGATGTTCTTGGACTACAACTCCCAGAAGCCTTCACCACCACCTCTGCTGGCCAGGATTTCTGGGAGTTGAAGTCCAAGAACATGTGTAGGCCCAAGGTTGGGGACCACTGTTTAGAGGATAAAGCCAACCAACATGTCACCAATTTAAAGCCAGATACAGTCCAATCCCACTATGCTCAGTAGAAGGTTCGACCAGGTTACTGTGTATAAGACTGTAGTCATAGTTTCACAGTGCAATAGGATCACACTTTAAGTAGCCTGAGTCACAGTGGAGAATCAAACTCTCAACCTCTGGCTCCACAGCCAGATACCTAAACCACTGAGCTGAGACGCTGAGTAGAGCCAGCCTATGTTGCCTTGAGCAAGCTGCAGAGTCCCAGGGCACCCCCCAGAAGAAGGCAATAGTAAACCACTTCTGAAAAGGGTCACTATAAGTCAGAATTGGTTTGATGGCATGTGATTATTAATTAGCTTGAATATCCAGGAACCGGGAGAGGAGTTTAGGTACGTTGTTCAAGCTCACTGTATGCTTCTACTTTCTGACTTCATGTGTGCTGCCTGCATTGAAGCTCTTATAACCTCCACAGTTCTCATGTGTAATGCAAAACAAAATTAAAAATGTTAGCTCATTTACTAACCTGAAACATTCTTACCTCCCTTACAAAAAGTGTAGTAAAAGATCAACTGTAGCTACTCTATCTCACCAAGCATCCCACACCAAGACAGCAGCTTCTTGCTTTACTGTTTCGATGTGGCATGGAATTGTTTTCCAAAGAAATAATTTCCTCTCAGCTTGTATCATAACATTTGATACCCTATCAAATTATTGTTAGAGCTGAGCCCTGGACACAAGAAAGGAGAGCTCCAAAGGGATATAACACACACTTACTTTGTTTAGAGGTACATATATGCAGATTTGTCTTTCTGAACTGCAATTTCCAAACTTCCTTAGGCAGCTATTCTGCGTAAGAAATCCCAGGACTTGTAGTCCAAAACCATGAACCTACACATTTTAACATCTCAGTTACTAGCATGGTTTGCTCATTAAGCAACACTGCCATGTCTAAGTGCTATTCTTAAGGAACTGAACTCATTTCAACCAAGCTTGCACCAAACGGTGGGTAAATAAATAAATAACGGAGGCTGCCATTCTGTTCTATTCAGAAGTTATATGTTCCCTAAATAAATATAGAAAGGATTGAGATTTTAGCTCACTTTCATTCTTTCCCACCTGTTTCTCCCCTTCCCAGCCATTCTGTGTGACATATTATATTGTTAAAATCAGCCCTTGAAAACTAGAACATTGAGACTGAAGCATGACTACATTTTAAAGTAGCTTTTCAAGTTTTCTGAAGCCTCTGTCTGTTCCTTTGTAGAGTACAGTCTGGACGTGGTAGTTTTACAGACTGAGGGTATGATAAATAGTATCAATAAACTTTTCAATGCCTCTCTAAAAATTCATAAAGCAGCTTCTCCTGTAACATATGAAGAATACACAGCACAGTGACATATATAATGATATTTTTTTTCCTGGAGACACTTGTTTGAGAGGACATGCTTATCTCACTCAGGGCCTCTGTGTTTATGAGTAATGTTGCCTTCACAAACCCATGCTGATAAAACATGCCTCTCTCATTTTTGCCTCAGAGCAATGGTTCATTCTTTCTCTTCCCTCCCCCCCATGTTGCCAAAAATGTGTGCTTTTCCTTTGAAGCAGCAGCAATGTTGAGGGGGCAAAGCAAATGGTATCTCTGACCAAAGAGGGAGAATCATTTCTATATGTGTCATGTTGATATTTTTTAAAAAAAGCAAAGTGTGCTGCTTATATACTGCCCCATAGTGTTTAAAGTTTTCTCTAGGTGGTTTACAATTTAATTATGCAGGCTACACATTCTCCCCACCCAGAGAGGTGGATACTCAGTTTAACAACCTTGAAAGGATGGAAGGTTTCATCAACCTCAAAAGCCCAGGATCAAACTCAAATCATGAGCAGAGTCTTCACTGCAATATCGCAGTTTAGCCATTGCACCCCAAGACATCTTAGCCTCCCTTATTCACTGGGTGCAGGAGATTACCATGAAGCTAGAATATCAGGCTTCACTTCAGAGGGATACAAAATAAAGTAAGTTCAAATAATTTACACATAAACATTCATTTGCATAAGATGCAACTGATGGTTACAGCATCCTAATTGATAGTGGGTGGGTGTTTAAGGAATAACAAATCTCTATTACCATCACATAGAGCAGTAACTGTTCCTAGTTCTTCTCCACTTGTGTGTCATCACCAAGTAACATCACCAAGTAATTCATAGTGTGGCAGCTGCTGAATTGGAACACAAGCAGGGTTAGATAACTTTTGTGGGATTCACTGAAAAGATAACCCCTGTCTTTATCCTCTCAAACCCTTGGGACACTGGTAAATTGGATTATATTAGGATGTTCTATTTCAGTGTCACCTGCCATTAACAAATCAATTCTAATGTACACCATGAATTGGAAACTATGCCAGTGCCTACTAAATAATGGAACAGTATGAATCTGCAATAACTATTGGAGTTATTTACTGTGCTGTACAGTGCAATCCTATGTATATTTAACCAGAAATAAGTTTACTAGGGTTTCATCGGAAGATGGTCTGCCTAGGATTACATTCTAAAATAGTAATGTGCTGCTGAAGTTAATCTATGAGTTTTTAGTCTGTAACATGAAGAACCCATGGGCTATAGCACTCTTTCTAAGTAATTGATCTGAAGGAGGGGGGAGGCAACAAAGTACAGATCAAGTACAGATTCTACTTGTGCATCCTCCAGATCACCCAGATCCCCATTGAAAAGTGCCAGTTCTTCCTTCAGACAAGAGCTCTCTGTGGCTTATTTCACCCATTCCAAAACAGCTATTTCAAACCCAGAAACTGATTTTAGGTTTGGAAAGTGCAGCCCAAGGTGGGCCCCAGAAGACACAACATGTCTCCCCAAACTCCAGAACTTCTGTACCCCAGTGCTAAAAGGAAGGGGTGTTAATAAGTGCCCAGAAAATGGCATGTCCATTGGCAAAGCATTTTTCCCTTGCTTTCAAATTCAGAAAAGGGACATATTTTGTTGTGTTGTGTGTTGATACTAATGCAGGAGGGTTAATGATCACCACAGATGATTTTTTTTTAAAAAAAGCTGGAAGATTTATGACTTGTCTACTGTATAAAAGACTCAACACTACTCAAAATCAGAGCCATTACCTTTTTTCTTGGGGAAAAAATTAATGGTAATCGCCAATGAAGAATTTATGCCTGCTGTCCCTATGTTTTGCATATTTTATTGCCCTGGGCCACAACTCTCATTATCCCAGCCCACAAAGGTATGTGCATCTTATATAATGAGTATTGTGGTCAAATATCTCTAGAGGATGCCTGGCTAGGGAAGACTCATGACAACCTTATCCTGAAGATTCTATGCAATGTCTGTGGCGGTATTTTTCCAGATAGTCTCCTTAAGAATCACTGCTAGAACACAAAGATACTGAAGGAGGCCTAGATCAGGAGGGTAGAGATTGAAAGCTTGCAGAAATTATAGGGAAAGCAACTCATGTTGAAGCTCAGTGAGGTAGCAATTTGCTCACCTTTGATCAACCAGAATAGAAGACAAGGGAAAGAAGGGGTGTGCTTGTCCTAGAAGAGCTTTCATCAAACTGGTGTCCTCTAGATGTTTTGTACTTCATCTCACAACAGCCCAACCCAGCATGGACAGCGGCAAGCAGGGATGTTGGCAAGTCTTTGGGTTCAAGTCTCAAGTCTGAGTCTTTAGTACCAAGTCCAAGTCCCTATGAAAAATAAGCTTTTTCCCCCCATAAAAAAGGAAGGGTGAGTGGGTTCCAAGTCGCAAGTTGAGTCACTGGGGGAAAAATCCAAGTCGAGCCCAAGTCAAGTCACCAGTACGACATCAGTCTGACTTCATAGTGAGTCCATGACTTGAATCTCCATCCCTGGTGGCAAGTGCTGCTCTATAATAACTGCATAAGATCACCCTAGCACTCGTTTTCATACACGAAAAGGTTTGCCTCAAATAGAAATCATAGCACCACTTCTTACTGTGGAAGTCAATGATAAATATATGCTCTCATATGAAGATGTGAGTCTTCTGGGGGGCGGTTTTCTCTTGGCAAGTCTGCTGCTTCTAAAAAAGCTCCACTTTCTGCTAGAAATACAAGCCTGGATTGCAGCAGTTAGATCACTGCTAGAGCATTTCCTGGAATCTATCAATTCAAGAACTCCCAAGGGCGATACTTTTATTCTAAAAATGTTAAATTATGTATGTTCTCCCAGCACTATTGAAGTTGCATGACTATGTTAAGATCATGATCTATAATTTTACTAGGAACTAGACACAAAGGAGGTATACATTGGTATAAGTATCTTTATTTTTGCTAAGGGAAATGAAAGAAGGCAGTTTGGGAAAAAGGCACTGGAAAGGAAGAGGCCAATTTACAATAAAACTGAGATTAATTGTGCATTTCTAGCCAAGCACACTCTTGCATTTCTGAAATATATAGTGGCAAATTTTCCTTTCCTCAGTCTGCACTATGCCACATAAGATCCCATTGTATCTATATAACATTACTACTGTATGTTTCAGCTGTTCTGTCATTCCCTCT